AAAAACTGAAACTACATTAAAATATTTCCTCTAGCTGCCACAGAAATGTTTCTCTACTGACATGATGGGCAGTACAGTAGTTGAACCGTGATCTCATTCTAAGTATCTTTTACCAGCTGCTTAAAATGGTTGTTTTCAATGACTGAAATACACTTTTTTTTTTTTTTTTTTTTTTTTGGTAAAAGCATTTTTCTAGGTTGATTTTTTCAACGATTTTTTATTTTTTTTTAATTATAATTTTGGGTTGCAGCTGGTAGATTATAATTTCTAAAATCTTGCAAGGAGTGTTCAATAACTACCCTTCCATTGGTAAGAGGATTATCCTTACAGGAAAAGACAGAGGTTCCTATCATGGGGAAGCCTCGATGTCATATAAATGGTGTTTTCCTACTGATTTCTGGATAATCCAAATTCTAGAGGGCACGCTGATGGAAAAGAAATTTATTTTCTAGAGTGGCTTCTTCAGCGTGAACTGATGCCACAAAGTTTCCCATATGTGTAAAAGACCAGTAAATTCTTTGCAAACTTCCCCATCACACGATTCAACAACCTTACCCTTTTACAGACACTTGTATTTCCCAATATCGTTCCTGTAGTTACCATTTGGCAAGACTTAATTACAAGTCAAAAAAACATTACAATTCACCAGTGACAATCTATACATTCAACTTGAAAAATATAACTACCTAATACCTACTGTTCCCACAGCAACAAATAGTGTTATGTTAAGTATATACACAAGAAGTATATAAATACAAAAAAAATAGGGTACATGGATTTTCATGAGAAAGTAAATCCATGTGTTTGGGATCATTTCCCACTCGCATAATGATTCTACAGCCATTTCATATAGATTAAGTCTATGTCTTACTGTTAGCACAACCACACATCATCAAATTGTTGACATTATTCATCTTAGAACAAATTGAATTTCATCAATAGGTGGAATTTCTCCCATGCTTGATTCACAAATAACTGCAACTTCTGTCCCCGCCTTTTTTTTTTTTTTTTTTTTAATTAATTATTTTGGAATAAACTGCCATGCAAATCCATATATTATTAATTTTCAATGAAAATATAACATTTTATTTCAAAAAAAATATGGGCTATAAGATGTTTCACTTGGACAGAAGTTGGCATGATGCATGTTATACTTTACAGTGTTTATAGTAGTATAGCTTAAAGTCTCATTTTTTGAGCTGAACAGACTGATTCTTCGGCAGTAATGTAAATTTTATTTCCCAACATATAAATAGGCCATCTTGTGACTTTCTTGAAAAGAGCTATTTTACCCAACCTGTGGTACTACTAGAGGCAAGTTGCAAACTGAATTTAGAAAGTGATCTTATTGCTTTCAGAAACAAATTGCGTAGTCTGCAGTCTGAAGTAGTTTATGTTTGACAACTTTCAGGACATCTCATGATGGAAATGCAGCAATTATAGAAGAACAGCAAGGTCCTACGCTGCAGCAAGTGAGGACTTGCTCAAATACAACAGCTGTAGGAACAAAGGAAAGAATCTGCTTATTTTCAGAAGGCCTTAAGTGTGTAAGGATCCCCAGCAAGATACCTATGCCTCCAAGGCCAACTCTAAAATGAGGTCTGGGAAGGTGTAGATCCTAGCTCCACCCCTTCTGGTCACTCAGGTGAAATGCATGCACCTGAGCTCCCCTGGGTTGGCCCTGCCTTCCCACCAGATGGGAATAAACACTGGTTCAGGCCATGACTTATCATTTCCACTACACAGGGTAGCCAGAAGCCTCTTATAAAACTGCTACAAAAGCTGGTGCTTTGTGTGATATGGAAAATGGTGTTTTACTTGTGTGGGGAGTAGAGGTGTTCAATTTTGCAGACAACTGGGAGTGTGGAATAAAGTGTGCATCTTCATTTATTCTTATTGTTAAACTTCACTATTACGAAAATCAAAACAGTATGTTTACTTTTAGAAAACTCACAACCAAATATCTGAAAATGCAACAGCTGCAAAAGATGAAAATAATTTCTATAGCCATTATAGCATCCCAAACCTAAAAATGAGTTGAGTAGATCAGTAAGTCAAAGATTTTTGAAGTAATTTGAAATATAATAATGCATTATTCTATTTAGCCAAGAAAAGTACACTTATTTAAAAACATTCAGTTAAGATCGTAACATTATAAGATATAAATTTTAAGTTGCGCTTATGTGTACTTTTTCACAATTAATACTCATAATTTACAATGAGAATATTGAAATCTGTTAGCTTTATACTTAGAGCTGTATATACTTATTGCAAATAGACTGGTTAATCTAAGCCATTTCGTTTGATGATTAACTTGAACCAAACCAAGAAAACTGGAAATTTTAACACAATTCTTTGAGACGTGCTGCATGAAAACAATTTCTTCATAAATAATCTCAAGTAGCAACAGATGAACCAAGCTCTATAATGTATACATCATGTCTGTAGAGTACTAAAATGATGTTTGTACTATGAATAACTGGCAAAAAACAAAAATAGAGTAAACAAACCCAAAAGATTAATTATGATTAAGTAATCCTATTTTATTTTCCAGGCCAATTTTGCAGTAATAACCTCTATCAATCCTTGTAGTATTTACAGAATTTTGTTTAGAGATCAATTTTGTTTATCTCAACAGAAGAGGGATTAATGCTCATCTATCGTGGCTCTGGAATTGAGTACAAAGGCATCATATCTAGTTTCCTAGATAAAAAGTAGATCAGATACAGAGTTTATGAACAGGCTCCGCAGTAAATAATTAGGTCAGCACTAACAATAACATTTAGTTTTCAGGAACACAAAGGCAATAATTCTCCATTTTAAGTCACTGAAAGTTTGCTTCTGACTTAGAATTATAGAATCATAGATTCCTTAGAGTTGGAAGGGACCTCTGAGGGCCAACTCCCCTGAAATGAACAGGGACACCACAGCTAGATCAGGTTACACAGTGCGTTATCCAGCCTTGCCGTGAATGTCTTCAGGGATGGGGCATCAACCACAACTCTAGGCAACCTGTTCCAGTGCCTCAGCATCCTCATTGTAAAAGATTTTTTCATTATGTCCAACCTGAATCTACGCTCCCTTACCTTGCAGCCATTTCCCCTTGTTCTGTCATCACAGACCCTGCTAAAGAGTCTGTCCCCTTCTTTGCTGTAGCTCCCCTTTAGATATTGAAAGGCTGCTACCAGGATCCCATCCAACCTGGCTTGGAATGGCTCCAGAGATAGGGCAGCTACAACCTTTCTGAGCAACCTGTGAGTAAAAAATTTCCTCTTAACATCTAACCTATACCTACTTCCTTCTACTTTAAAGTCATTAAGCTAGTCTCCCTTGTCCTCTACCTATCAAACCATGTAAAAAGTCAGTCCTCCTTCTGCTTGTAAGCTCCCTTCAAGTAGTAAGCTCCCTGGAAGGCAACATAATTAGAAATAAAAATGCTCATCAATGTCATCAAAAATGACATTTATTTAACCAGACTGTCTAACTGAACCCCTGTGCACAGATATGATGAAGCAGACAAAGATGCTATTGGTCTTTTTCAGCCACAAAAGCACATTACTAGCTAATTAGAGTGATCAAACATGCAATATCCTTTATTCTAAGGGAAGTTAATCACCAAGAACTTCTGAGAACCACAAAGGATATCACAACAGCTTCTTTAAATAACTACATACACATTATGATTGTAAAGTATTTATTGAAAAAAAAGAACAAAGAAATTAAATTAGTTATTCTACAATTCCTTACTGTAGATGAATATCTATTTCCAACAGTACTATTTTGAAGCTCTGAAAATATGAGGAAAGTTGAAAGTCTGTCATCTGTGATGTCAAATTAATTATCTTGCACTTAATATCTGAGGTGGTTTGATCTTGACAGTCAGGATCAAAGCTCCCATCTAGATGCTGTTCAACTCTCTCCAACCCAAAAGCAGGATGGGGGAAAGAATTAGAAGGGCAAAAGCAAGAAAAAGAAAAGAAAAAAAAGACAAAACCCCCCCACGTACAACCCCCACATGCAAATATACAAATGATGTAATCATTCCCACCAGATGATTGATACCCAGTCAGTCTTCAAGCAATGGATGCTTTGGGAAAGCTTCCTCTTTGTTTTATAGCTGAATATTACATTATATGGCATAGACTATCCCTTTGGTCAGGTTGGATCAGCTGTCCTGGCTGCGTCCTCTCCCAGTCTACTTGTTGGTGGGAATGACAGAAAAAGAGAAGGTCTTGATGCTGTGCAAGTATTGTTAAGGAACAGCTAAAACAGTGGTGTGTTATCAACACTATTTTGATCACCAGCCGAAAACATGGCAACATATAGGCTGCTACGAAAAAAATGTATGTGACTGTATCTCAGCCAAAGCAGCACAGCAATTCACAGTTATCTTCTACGTACAGAAATAGTTACCAGTAACATGTAAAGACATGGCAGTCCAGAAAAAGATTTGAGGTTATATGGTGATTCTTTGATCTGGATATCTGGGAATCATTTTTGTAAACTACACAGCCTCCAAATTACTCATCTACAAGCTTTCCTTATTATTAAATGGTTTTCATCATGCAGGAAAATACCTAAAAATTCCTCTTCATGTTTACCAATGTTGAACACAATACACATTTAAGAATAAAACAGAAACATATTAATCAGCATATATAAAGATCCAACTGAAAAATGTGACTTGGCTAATATTGAGTCAAAATGGTTTGTTTAGCCTTTAATCTGTCCAAAAATAATGCATATGCCATTGGATGGAGAGATTTCAAGCATTTCTAAAATAAACATTGAGGTTCAATACAGGAATATTTTGGTCAGATTAAGTACTGAAAGACAACATTCATAGTAACACAGAGCTTTAAAAAAAAACAAATTTTCCCAAATTCAGCTAACTCCAAGCCTGAGTATCTGAACATTGCAACACCGTCCACAGCATGGACAAAAATATGGCTGACATTCCAGCTATACAAAATAAGCATAATTTATTTTGCAGTAAAATTCAAATGTATTTCTTACCCATTCATAAGAAACAATCCAACACCCACGAGCAATTCCCAGCATAACATTCAAGGTACGACGAGGACTCCCTGTAACTACATGACTTGTTGTTTCACATACATCGTCTGAGAACAAGAAGTCTCCAAGTTTATTCACCACCTGAATTACCATACTTTGTTTCCTAAAAAGAGCAAAAATACAAAAAGATGCAGTCTTGAGTGGATAGGTAGGATTGTGGAAGCAAACATTCACACACAAATTATCTCAAATTTTCTTACATTTGTACTTTGTCTTTTATCACTAATCCTTTCTTATCCTTCCCTCACTCAGACTTGACCCATTTGCTAGACAAAAATTTGTTAGCCTTTCCACAGAGTCCAAACAGACCCTTTTCTGTCAGCACACAATCATATCTACTTGCATATCAAAGCTCTTTTATACCCCGTATCTATCTCGCTTGTTTAAATAGAAGCTTTTTTGAGTCAGGAATTATCTAACATACTGTTTGTGTACAACAGAGGCTCGCTCTTGGTTGCTTCTGTTGTACTTAAAAAAAAAAAAAAAAAAAGTATTCCTAAGAAATGTAAACAGTTGGATGCAGCACTCTTCAAAGGATGTAATTTGGAAGTACCAGATTTTCATTATTCAAATAAAATTGTATGTTAACTTTAGAGAGAAGTCTTAAAGTTCTGGCTTAATATCTTTATGTCTGTGTCAGTGTTTAAATTAAAAAAAAATACTCATCTTTAAGTAAATTTACCTCCAGATAGACTGCCATATAAAATAGAGAATGGCCACCTATAACTGGAATGCTAAGTTGAGTTCTCTAGCATGTACGTTACAATGAGGCACGTAATACCTCATCATGAAAACAGTGAGCTCTTGGTATCCCTAGAAAAAAGCTGTTGCATAGGAACAATTTAATCATAACAATTTAACTAAAGATTGTTGTTACAAATAATACAGGAAAGCCCGATGCCAGTGCCCTCTCTGTTCCCCCCAGTTGACTTACTGAAAATGTCTATAACTTCCTACGTAAAATAAAACAAGTTAGCTCAACCTTGAACAAACTCACAGGTATCACACCAATGGTCCTCTCAGGTAAAACACTGAGGTTAATAAAAGATATAATGAGAACAGTAAGAACATCTTCTGAAGCCTCTGAACTTCATTCTCACTGCATTTTACTCCATCAAAAGTAACTCAATTATAGATCCCCAAATATCCTAGTTACTTAAAGGAACTCGAATAAAACCTCTACAGTGGTTTTATTCTTCTAATAAAACATCTTCAGTGTAGCAATCTCTTTTAAATAAATAAATAAATAAATAGATAAATAAATAAATAAATAAAGCAAGTAAAGGAATAGTAAAAACAAAGAGTGTCAAAAATTAGCTTCAAAGAAGTCAAATGGTGATAGCATATGTGAACACAGTTAAAAACTGAACCACTGACTTAACTGCCTAACTTCTGCCATAAGTGAAGTTTTTGAAACATTGCTACTCACAGAGGCTAACTCTGCCTAAGCTATATGCTCAGCAGAGGCAACTCCACATACTATCTGAAGCTAGAGTTCTTTCTTCTCCATATGAAATGTCTTAGGTGAGAGGAGAGAGTCCTCTTCTACGTTATTCAAATCTAAGATATCGTATCAATTGCACTGAAAACTCAGCAGCTTGTACTTCAGTCAAATGAAAAAAATCTACCAGATACAAAATTACAGCAAAATTTCACTAAATTTGTGACTCAGAAAAATAGGTAGCACCTGGCTGCATATCAATATATTCTCAAAACTCGATACCATGAAACCAATGAACTCATGTATCTTAAAATTTCTAATGAACTACTTCTGTAATTGTAGCTACTGGATAGTAGAACTGGATTTGAGCCAGTTCAAGTCCTATTGAGGACTATTTTCTGCTTTTTAGTTCTTTCAGAAGCAGTTCCTTTACCTTCACCTTCACTATAACATGACTAATCCCTTTGACTGCAGACTGTCAGAAGCAAAATATTGATGAAAAAGTTCTGAAGAAAAGCAAATTTTTAATCAACAGACACTTTTGTTTCCAGGAAAAGTCAGCATATATCAACACAAAAGAAGTAACTTATTAATGATCTCTTTCAACAAAAGAACATTATTTTTTCCCTAGCTGTCAAGATCTGCTGTCTCCTTCAAGGCACATCACAGCCTGTTTTCCACTATCCTTATCTGGACTGTAGCTATTATCTTTCCCTCCCTCACAATGATCCTCTATGACATGATTAGCATAGTGCACTTGTAGTCTTGGCGTTAATAGAAACCACTCATATTAAATACAAGAAAAATACTATTACTGTTTTACATTTCTGACCTTTATAGTAGTATACTGGTTAATTGCTACTGGCAACCATTTACAAAGTATTTCTAAGAGGACAGCCACTAAGTACTGTTTCAGATTGCTTACTATGTAACTGTCATGACTTTATTACTTCAGTGCTGAAAGAGATTTGTGGGTAGTAGAAATAAGACCTCAAGTTTTGAAAAATAATTCAAAAAACTGTAGGAAAATACAGTAGAAAATACATAATTTTATTTTTCTTGGAAGTCTTTATGATGTAAAAATTTTAAGAGAATGATAAGAGCCTGCCAGAAAAATATTAACTCTTCCACAAACACACAGCTGCAGTTGCTTCTAATGTTTTGAAATAAAGTGGGTGAAAAGCCTAGAACTGGTATTTCTTCAGCAACAAAAAAGAAGATACGAATGAAAATATTTTAAACTGGTGTTTCAGATCATTAAGACTTCTTGTTTTTTTTTTTTGTATTTTAATAGAAACAGTTATAAGATATGGGGAAAAAGCTAGGTTCAGAACTCCATCCCTAGACTATTTACTACAAAAAACTCTAATTCTTACAGTTCCTTGAGAAAAAAATCAAAATTTGATTGAGTTTGGTTTTACTGCTCTGAAGTTCATCTACAGGCCAATGAAACCATTATTCCAGTCTGCACCATAATAGCACAGATACACACACGTTCATACAAAGTGTAGTTAGTAATGATATACACAGGTACGTGTGTACTTCTAGCCAGTGTGATAGAATGAAATGAAGTTATTTCAACATATGGCCCAAAGACAAATTCCATTTTGTATAGAGATGAAAATATTATAAAAATTTAAGTTCAACTTAATGAGAAAGTAAAAATACTTAATACTTTTTAATACTTAATACTTTTTAATACTTACTCAGAACACATACTCGTCATGACTAGTGTCCTTGTTGGCTAAAAAAAAATGAAGCAAACAAGAAAACATCAAAACCCTGAAAACATTTCTTCTTTGAAAAAACTTAATTGATTAACTATACTATTAAAAGGACTAAACTACTTGATAATTACAGTATCATTCTGGGAAGAGGCAGTACTAACTGACATATATACTAGAAATATTAAACGTTAAGGATTTGGAAGGAAAGAAAGCCTCTTCATTATGTATCAAAGCATCCAGTAGGAGAAAGAAAAAATGGAGTTTTTCATCAGTTAAAACAAAGTGACAGATTTCAAGACTAGTACAGCACACACACACACACAAACACACACACACAAAAGTATTTTTTGTCTTCAGCTTTTTCTTTTCTTGATCAGATTAAGATGTAGTCAGCTTAACTACAACAATGAATCCCTGTAATTTAAAATGATTTCCATTTCTTACAAAAGAAAGACAAAATCTGTCTGAGATACTGAAGAAATAAGTTTTTTTTTTACTTTGAAGAATATACATTATTTCACTCTTAAATCATGCTTAATGAATAAAAGTTGACTGAGTGATAATTAAAAAGGTAAATGCAAAGAATACAGAAATGCATACAACAGCAAAACTGAGATACCTTAGAAAGCAGTGACAGCAGAATCCCCTATCTTATGTGTGAAGTATCTCACACAGATTTTAAATTATTGTTTCATGAGTTAGTGCTACAGAAAACAGAAGAAGAGGTATTCTTCCATCATCAGTAATAAACATAAGGCCTCTACCATGCACAAAAGTAGGACAGAATACTAATTTACCAATATCAGAGAAACATATAACTGAACACAATAATCAAACAAACATAAAATGATCAACATGACTTAATATTATAAGAAAAACCTAAGAATTACCTGTAACTACGTATTGTACATAAATATGTACACGAATGTATACATTAGCATTTTATTTTTGTAGAAAAAGTAGATCAATTGACTTTTACAATAATTTCAAAACAACTCTTCCTGACCTTAAAAATCAAGACATGAATTTCAAGTTTCTTGTCTGGGTATGTACCACTCCATAACAAATATTCATTTCCATTTCTAACCTCACTCCAATATACCAAAATCTGGTTTCCTGTAATGTACTGAGATTACATTTGATAGCACAGTTCAAAAATGACTTGAGAAAGATACAGTAATGAATCATAGAACAGAAGGAGGAAAATATTATGATGCAACACCATCCATCCTCTCTTATCAGTACAGAGCGTTGTCCACTTAAATGTTCAAGCAATTTGTCTTATTTACAAATGGAGTCTTTGGGATTATATTTGAAGACTAATATCATAGAATCATAGAATGGCCTGGGTTAAAAAGGACCACAATGATCATCTGGTTTCAACCCCCCTGCTATGTGCAGGGTTGCCAACCAGCAGACCAGGCTGCCCAGAGCCACATCAAGCCTGGCCTTGAATGCCTCCACAGATGGAGCATCCACAACCTCCTTGGGCAACCTGTTCCAGTGCATCACCACCCTCTGGGTGGAAAACTTTCTGCTATTTTTCTACTTCTGCACTATTGCTTTATTCCAAAGAAAATTATTCAGAAACATCACACGGTCAAGATGAGTTAAAAAGATGAAAAATTCAACGTATAGATGCTAATATTCTGTGGGTGAAGTGGATAAATAACATAAATCCCATAAACTATCTAATTATTGAGAAGCAAAATTATGTAGCATATTCAATATTTTTCAAACTTATGATAAAAAACTGTTCAGACAGTATAACGTAAATGTAAAGAAATAAGTGTAAAGGATCAACAGCAAGCTCTACAGTACTTCCGAACTGAAATATTCATTTGACATATTGAACATGAAAAGGCAAAAATAACCAATTACAGAACAGAATATAACTTCAAATGATGAAAGGATTGAAATACTTATTTGGGATAAATTTTACTCAGTATTTTTGGAATTCTGATTATTAGCATACTGCTAGCCTGAAAAGCTTGAAATCACAGAATCACAGAATGGCCAGAGTTGGAAGGGACCTGAAGGATCATGAATCTCTAACTCCCTGCCACATGCAGGGCCACCAACCTCCCCATTTAATACTAGACCAGGCTGCCCAGGGCCCCATGCAGCCTGGCCTTGAACACCTCCAGGGATGGAGCATCACAAGTGAAGCTACTCTATGCAGTAGTAAGGATGTGCCTCATAGTGTCCAAATACATTTTGTTTGATCTACATAACTTCAAGGAATCCTGGAATCAAAAATTCTAAGGGATCCTGGAAAGGCACAGAGCATGGCTTTGAAGCAATGTATTCTCCGTCCACTCCTTCTGGGTTGAAACCCAATCTATACTGAATATGTATGCTTCAGCATGACCATAATGTTCTCCTTTGAATTGATGTCTGGAATTAAATCCACACAAAATAATTGCACTAGTTTCTTGGGGTCCTTGTGTAATATTAGCTCTAAAGTGAGATCCTGATGTGTCTGTTCAGAACACGCAGAAAAATTTATCATGATGTTTAATAAACAATGAAAACATTACTAATCAGACTACTAATTTTGCCAAAGCTGAGTTTACTACATAAACCAAGGTCAGAGCAATTTGAGATCCTACAGCTGTTTCTTCAGCTTCAGAGAACAAATGTTCATTACAAGTTCCTTTGTACCTATCTTCAGGGAAGTGAAAATACTGAACTCACACAACTTGGGAAACTTGCACCTGTCCTGACACGACCCTGAAAACTCTGCTTTTTAACTGCAGCCTTTATGCTACAACACACAACAAACAAGATGGTATACTGAATGTTCTGGGTGATGTTTTGTCACTGTCATCAGCACCATTCAAAGACTCAAGAATGCAGAAACATGCATACAGGAGGTAGAAATTGAAATTAAGTTTAATTTCTTCCAAACTACTTTTTCATCTTCATTCAAAACTACGTACTTTTGCAAGTAAGAGGGGGTCATTTTCTACATTTTGTTTTATTGCTTCAATTAGACAAGCAGTTCTCTTTAATACACTTGCATACAGTTACCAAACAGAAAACTTAGCAAAATAGTTTTAATTTTCAGTAGCACATTTTTCAAGTTAATTGCTTTCTTCCCTGTCTTGCTATGCAATTTTTCTTCAATGCTATTTGTGCCTGTTTTTATTTTACATTTTTCTTTTATTGCAAAATATGTTTTGAGTTAGCATTTTCTTTTCTGATTAGCAAAAGACATCTGGTGAGCATCGCTATGTATTCTAATAAACATTTGAAGCAGGATTATTACTAATACAACTCTGAAAAAATGGTATTGAATGAATAAGACTTTTCTCTCAATCAAGAGGAGTTGCACCTCTGTTTTCTAAATCAGAGCACATTTATTTCTGGATCGTGTTTTAGATCTGTAATGAAGGTTGTATTAGACTCCTATAGAACATTTACATGCCTCAGCTTTCCTTTATATGTTTCTTAAGACTACAGTTGCATTAAATATTTCTTTTTAGAATCTGTCAACAAGATTTCTCCACACCCTATGAAATACATTACATGCATTTCAATACCTCAAAGAAAGCAGTATTTGTCAATTTTTTTCAATTCTAGAAACACAGCGTGATACATCCTGTATGTGAACTGCCCCACATCACAGAAGAGGCATCCAACCTCAAAATGTTTTTCTTTCTTTTTCTAACTTTAAGCAGGTGCTTCTTGGAGCTGAAGGAAAATAAGAGAAAAGCCCCGTTTGTACAACCTGCTTTTCAAAAACTGTCACGAGGAACATAGACCTCTGGTTTCTTCCAAGGATGGACATCAAGCAATAAATATAACTTCTGAATTGTGTATTCCTTAGACTGAATGCTCACTTACGCCTTTAATTTGACAAGTTCTGAAAGAAATGGGCTTTGAAATACTTTTAAGATCAAATGTGTACCGTGATGGGTGAAAGAAAATGACTTTCAACTTCAGAACTCAACAAGATGTGTAGTTTGGCCAGTATGCTAGGGACAAAGGGCTTTTTTTTGAATGTGAGGGAAAGGGAAGAAGTGCATTCATATGCAAATATGGGGAGAGGGAGAGTACAAGAGCATTATGACAACCATTTTGTACTCTTCCAACCCTTTTACTCTTTGGCTATTGTAGCTCCATCAGATGGTTCTGAAATAGATTCAGAACTCCTATACATTCTGTTGATCTTAACAGCTGTATTCTAGGAGTCACATTCTTCACTCTGACTAATACAGGACCCAAAAAAGAGCCAGATGCAGCATGTGAATTATCAAGAATTAGGTTAATTTCACTTTTTTTTTTTTTAAACTAGGAAAGTTTGAAGGAGACGATGGAAAACTTTAAAGCTGTTTTTAGAAACAATCTATAAATTATGTTAATTTATTCTATTCATATAATTGTGGCTCACAGCTGAGAATAATTGGTAATTATAGTGAATTATTTCTATTCAGCAGTTTTAAACATTGAATATTCAAAGCTATAATTTACTTTCTGGTTGGCCTTACTCCACTTATGAGTTCTTGATAATGACATTTTCCCAGTTTTCTCTGTCTGCAAATTGAGTTATAGTTGTAATTTCCTGACTAAAAACAAGACCTCTGCTTTGGTGCTAATGAGATGTAAAAAATGTACCAGCATTAACCAAATCAGAACTACTATGAGGAAGGTTAAAAAAAAACAACACACACAATGTAAGCTATAACAAGAAAAAATTAAAATGAAATTACATATCTGGGAATTACATTTCCCTCAATGCCAAAGAACCTAGAACTTCTGTTGGCAAGATTAAGGATGATCAACAGCTTCAGACTGACTTCAGCCTAATGCTGACACACTTTACAACTAACTGATATTTTCTGTTTTCTACATGCATCCATAATAGCTAACATGTTTTAAACAAAACAAAACAAAATCCACATCATATTCATTTCTTCAACAAAGGATAGATTTCACAGCATTTTGCAGTTTCATAGGTTTATCTGGCAAAGCCAGGGATTTAGTTTTTCCAGTAGGACAGACAAAGAGTAAG